TTTAGGCACAATGCAATTCTGGATTGTGGTATTTTAACCACTGGGAAAGACTACCCCAACTGGACCACTGGTAGGGCCCAGCCTAAATTGTGGACAAAACTATGGACACCTGGAGAGTCAATGTTTTACATTGCTGAAGACAAGGTACGGTCAATCTCTCATGTTCCTTTTTCCACAGAAACAGTCTCTCATCTTCTGTGCCTGGTGGCTGGTCTGCCTTTGCTCATGATGCCATAAGACCACAGGAGCCAGGGACACTGCCTATGTGATAGACTGACTAGTCATCTCTGTCATTTTGATTGGTACATGGATTGGTATATTTATTTAGGTTATACTTTATCCTTCTGAGGTCTCGGATCACATTGATGGCTAGGCTAAGCTTATGGTAGCTTTGCAGCTAAAGACAATCAGGTCCACTGTTAGCTCATTGGTCAGTTCATTAGCTAGTTAGAACTACCAGGTATTAGATCTTTTATTTAGAAAGGCAAAGAGGCTTGACTTGCTCACAGGCTTCATGTTAACTGCCTGTGTCTTATGGTGAATAACTGGATAGAAAGATGTAACGTTTGTGTGAGGTCAGAGGATATAAAAGTTCAAGTTATGAGAATCTAAAAAGTATTGTTTAAAGGTCTAGGAAAATGTTTCAAAGTTAGTAAATGCAAGAAAGATTGGAGGGTCTAAATAAATGTTTTAAGGTATATGAATGTAAGTTGTAATGATATAAGAAAATAATTTAAGCACATGGAAAATGGGAAATATTTCAGATTTCTCTCCCCCCAAGCTATGGTTGTACTTTTGTTGTTATAAGATTTCAGAAGTTCAGTTACATTGATCAATAGTGTTCTGATAGGTTGATGGAGCAATGATTGCTTATTATTTAGTCACAAGCTTGAGATTTTAATTTCCTTTTGGATGTCTTCTGGAGATAGACTTAAAGGTGCTTCTCATCATGCTAAAAATATGTCTAATGTGTATATCTGACCCAAAAGCCATAGCTTTTCCTAGGTCTTAATGGCATGACTCTGCTTCTGCTGTCTTGTAGACACCTGTTAACTGCTTTTTCTAAAGTATGGTCATCAATACAATGGTGATGCTAATATGAGTTTCAGGAAACCAAAAAGTCAGAAGACCAGGATCTGGCATAGCTCAAACAGATTTCAGATGAGTTTTTCCCTTGGTCTTGGGATTCCTCACTTTCCCTAACTACTAGACAAATTTAATTTCTGTCACTAGTCTGAATTTGCCTCAGCAGATTTTCACCTGGTTGATTCTATTCGGGGGTCAGCTATGGACTGCAAGCTGAAATCTGGACTTGCTGGAAGCTGACATGATTGTTCTCTGCCTCTTCAGGTGGATCAACTAACCAGATGCTTCTGAGGACTGCTCCATTGCCCAGCCTTTGACTGGCATTTCAGCCTTCCTAGCCCCTTAATGTCAATGGTCCCATTTTCACCCTGAATAAGATACAGAAGAAGAGACCTTTCATCCCAATCCTACCTTACAGGCTGAAACGCTAAGTTAAAAGGGGCTCCCAGACATCAGCTATTATCTTGGGGACCTGCTTAGCTGGAGCAGGAACTGGTATTGAAGCACTGGGTGTACAAAGCCAGAATAACAGCTGCTGGGAGCCAAGGCTATTTACTGAAGCCAAAGTCAATTAGTGAGCCAAAGCTATTTAGTGGAGACAAAGCTATTATACTGAAACCAAAGCCAAGTAGTGAGCAAAAGTCATTTAGCGGAGACCTAAAGCTATTTAGTGAAAGAGTTACCTAGGACCCTCAGTCATGGGTGATAGATTTGTGAGGACATATGTCTGTTAGTTTTAGAGATATCTTAAGAAAACATCCTATGGTATCTTGCAGGTGCAATATTTAACCCATGGAAGCACTCTTCCTATCTCCTGCAGCAGTTAATTAGCCTTCCCCCTTTCCTGCCTTCTCCCTATATAAGTTGGGTAAAAATTTCTAATAAACGAGGCCTTGATCAGACAAACTGACTTGGCTCCATTCTTCACATCTCTTGTTCCCTTCCCCCTCATTCCTTCCACCCTCCTTTCTTTAGGAACCCATTGAAGTCCTGCATGTTGGGGCAAACAGCTTAAAGGCAGATATTGATAAAGATATTCAGTGCCTTGAGAACTCAATCATCACCCATTTAGAAAAAAAAAACAAAACAAAACATGTTGATTCCCTGGCAGAAATAGCAGAACAAAAGGGGCTTAGATCTGTTGTTTTTACAACAGGGTGGGCTGTGTACAGCCCTTAGAGAGAAATCTCATTTTTATGCAAACCAATCAGAAATGATTAGGATATCCTTAGCAAGAATAACAAAAAGCCTGGAGAGATGCTAGAGAGAAAAGGTTCCAGAGGATGGTTTAAACCCTGATATAAGAGTTCTCCTCGGCTTACTACCCTTATATCCACTCAGATGGGACCCTGCTCATTTTGAATTTTACCTTTGGGCCTTGTATTTTAAACTGCTTGATGGCTTTCATGAAGCAATGCTTGGGAGCTTAAAAAATACAGAGTGCAGTTACAGAATCACCCCCCAAAATCTGAGCAGAGTGACCTAGGCAATAGAGCAGCTTTGCCTTAATGCGGAAGAGCATGAGGAGGTTTGGTTCTGTTTCTGCTGTTCCCTGTTTTGTTTGTTTTCAGACTCTGAATCTGCTGTCTGTGAGTGGCAGTGAGCTTCACTTTCTTCAGAGGGTGGCGGGAAAGAGCCTGTAGGGGAACAGTTCTCAGGTAATGGTTCTCACCAACATTAACACTCCTTTTTTTGAAGCAGGTTCTGTTGTGCAGCTGTGCTGACCTTGTGCACACTTCAGAACACAGGTTTGCCTGGAACTCACAACAGTGCCCCTGTCTCAGCCTCCTGAGTGCTGGGGTTCTGAGTGTGAGCCCTCAGCCAAGCTCAGCACTTCCTAAGAGAGCAAGGGGGTGCCAGGGCCCTCCCCTCAACTTTCAGCGGGTTCCCCAGCCCAGGAAGGCACCTTCACAGATACATTTTCTAGATCTTCTATTCTTATAATTTCTATTGTGTGTGGTGTGTGTGTGTCTATTTGTGTGTGTGCATGGGTGTGCCCAGGTGCAGCAACTGGAAGAGGACATCCAGTATCACCTCATTTTGTGCACCTTTGAGATAAAATCTGGCCCTGGACCAAGACAAGATGTCAGTCTGCCCAGGAAAGAATGCTCTCTTCCCCACAACGCAGCCTGTTTCAAAATTCGCAAGGCCAGCTTTGCTCATCTGTAGAATAAGAGCGCCAATGAGTGGAGCTTTTCCTATTCACCTTATCCAGCGCCCAGTGTGTCCACGGTTACCGTCTCTGCTGTGTTAACTATTGACTCACCTCGAGGACACACACTTAGCCTGAGTGGTTACTTTCTATTTCTGAGGAATTGCCTCCTCTCTCTGTTAATTTCTTCACTTATACTCATTAAAGTCTTCTAACTGCTTTAGGCTTGTTGTCTTTTCTTCTTGATTTCAAAAACTCTGCTTTATTCTCACTGCGTCATGCACTCCCTGACCTGTGCTTTATTCTCACTGCGTCATGCACTCCCTGACCTGGCTCAGCTGTCGATACAAAGGGTCTTGTACACTAACTACATAACCCAGTGCGACACACAGGAGTTCATTAACTGTGGTCACTTCCTGCGGGAAGGGTTCTGACTCTGGACTCAGCTCAGGCCCTCCGAGGCTTCCCAAGGGCCGGGCATTCTGCACTGAAACTAATTCTTTCTTCACTGTATAATTTGCTAAAGGAATTATTTCTTCTATGTCAGTGTCCTAGAGTTTATTTTAAAGCTAATTTTTGCTTGGTTTGTATCACATTTTCGGTTTGGGATCATTGCACACTAGTTTCGTATTTTAGTCATTTTCTTGCTTCTTCAAAACCTATCACGTCGAAACTCAGAAGTTTCCTTCATTATTTCTACCCTGAGCGGCAGGCGCCCTGGCCTCATTGTACGGAAAATTAAGGGGAAATCACCACCTAGAGTAAATACCATCCCCAGACACACAGAACACACAGTGACATATGTGAGAAGTGGCCAAACGAAAGTGAAACATTAGAGCCCTCGTTTTGCAAGCAAGCCTTCCACTGTAAAGAGTTCGCCCCGGGGTCCATCCTCGCCTGTTGGGCACCAACAGTGAGCTGGCTTTGCTCGGGTCTAGCAGCGATCTAGCGCCACCTAGCGTTATCTCAGTGCTGTGAAGGACGGCCACGGATTTCCAGGCCAGCCTGAGCCACGTAACCCCTCTCAAGCCAGCTCAGTGTCTGCAGAGACCCTGCCCAGCGAATAAAGTAAAACAACGTAAAACTAAACCAAGAGTGGCTGATTGAGGCTCCGAAGATGATTGCAGAGGGCGGGGCGGTGGGGGGTACCGTCTGTGTGCCTGGCTGGGGGCGGGGAAGGGAGCTTCGGGGGAAGAAGACGTCAGAGCAGATGTGCCAGGCGGGAAACTCCAGAACCTCCAGTCTGTGGCCAAGGCCGCGGGACCGGAGCCTCGCAGGAGCTCGGGGCGCCTTGCTCTGAGGGCTTCAAGCTTTGAAGTCAGACAAGCCGCAGAAGCCGGGAAGGCTCCTGTCCGTGGCTCTCACACCGGAGCATTCTTGGGTCTCACACCCAGCACACTCACTCTTGGGGAACACAGGGGAAAGGGCCGTGGAGCCCAGTCACCAAGACGGGAGTGGGAGGGAGAGAACTCCGCGGAAAACTGGGGCGGGCGTGGGGCGGAGCCGCGGGAGCATCCTAAGCGGCGTCGCGGAGCATGATGGGAAAATCCTCCTTCCCTTGGCCATGGCGCGCACCTGCCCCGCGGCGCCAGCCGGCTCCGGCACCCCGCTGTGCGGGTCCGGGAAGTCCAGCGTGTGCCGCGGTTTGGGCGGCGGCGGCGGCGGCGGCGGACGGGCCGCGCCTGGGGCACACCAGTGAGTGAGCCCCGGGGCGCGCCGGCTCCTGCCCGGCTCCTGCCCGGCTCCTGCCGGCTCCGCGGCCATGGCGTCCCAGGTGCTGCAGCTGCTCCGGCAGGGCGTGTGGGCCGCGCTCACGGGCGGCTGGTACCACGACCCGGAGCACAGCAAGTTCACCAACAGCTGCCACCTCTACCTGTGGTTGTTCCTGCTCCTGCTGCCGCTGGCCCTACACCTGGTGAGTGCCCAGGGCGGATGGAGGGCGGGGAGGACCAGGAGGAGGACCGGGAGGATGACAACGAGGAAGAGGAGGACGAGGAGGGGAGCCGCAGACTCTGCCCGGGGTGGGGAGGGGACAGTGACTTTTGAGAAGTGGAGACCAGAGAATGAGTGAGGGGGATCTGGGATCCCGCGGGGCACAGGGGAATCACGGGAAAGGAAAGACGCGTCTGGGACTCGGGACTGTGCGCTCGCGCTCGTTAAGAACTGTGCCTGGATGAGTCAGGCCCCGCTGCTGAGTGCTGAGACGGGCTTGTGGGCCTCACGCTCAGGGCGATGTCTGTGTGACCCCGTCGTGCGGGGTCACGATGCAAAGGCAATGAGAACTCCCCGAGGCGACCTGATTTCGGTTGTTCGTTTGTTCTGCTCTCTCCCTGCTTTACTTTAGGAAGACAGATTGCACCATCGCTTACTTAGCCGTTTCCATCAATTACTTTGCAATTTCCACACCGCGGTGTACAGAGCCTGAAAAAAAAAACGAAACAGGAGTGGCTCGCCGTTATACCGTATGCCGGAGCAGAATGGGAATGCCTGCTCGGGCATGGACACCCAGCGTGGGAGGCCGTGCAGGCTGAGTGTTCGCCTAGATGCCCTTCCTAGTGGCTTTGCGCGTCTGCAGCTGAGCCCGGGGAGGCTCCTTTCGGAAGCTGCCGGCGGGTCGGCTTGCCAGGCGGGCGCTGTGGAGATCGGGCGCTCCTCCACAGACCTTCAATGAGTTTGCACGGCTGACAGGTCCCCAGGCCGACATCCGGGAAGGCTGGTGGCTGGGCACCCCGGCTCTGGCCTGGCACCCCGGCTCTGGCTCTTTCTCCAGCCGTGTGTCCAGAGCTGCGGTTCTGAAGGCAGGTTGCCCCCGTTGGGTTCCGGATCCGGCTTTTTCCAGTTCCGGGACCTTGGGAGAAGTTAGCTCACTTTGGCTTTTCTTTTTTCTCGGCTGTGGAGCAAGAGAAACAAGAGAGGACTACAACCAGAATGTGTGGTGTGTGTGTGTGTGTGCACGTGTGCGCGTGCTTGCACTTGTAGGCATGCAGAGAGTTCAGGAAGACTTGTAGGGGTTCCATTGCATGAGTCGGGGGATCAGGATGAAGTCATGAGCTCAGCAGTGGCTGCCTTTACTCTCTTATTGGTGCCATTTTTGGGGGCCATGGGGCTCAGGGAGACACCACAGGGAAGCCTTGTCCAGCTCCGTCCGGCCCGGGCCTGGGCTCATCAGCTTCTTAGCCTGACGTTGCCAATGCTCCTGGCAGTTGGCTTTATAAGCGGAGGCCCTGGCAGAGGGTGACGGTGGCAGATGTCTCTGGCTGGCCTTCAGTATCGAAAAGACGAAAAGGACAAGGATGAAGCATGAGATCACGGGGCCTCCCAGCTCGGGGGAGGGGAGAAAGGGCTCCAAGGTGACACAGTCAGACTATCTACCCAGGGCAGGAGGAAAAGGGCACAATTGTCCTGTAAGAGGGAGCCTGGGGGAAGAAGGTTGAGCTAGACCATTGAGTTCAACTCTCAGTACAAAAAAAAAAAAAACCACTTAAAAAAACAAGAAACATACAAACAAACAAAAAAAACCCACAACAAACTTAAGGTAGAATATGAATTAGTTTCTCTCAAGGATCGTTTGTTGTTGTTTGTTGCTGCTGTTTTGTTTTTGTGTTTGAGACAGAGTCTCACATAGCCCAGGCTGGCCTTGGGATCCAAACCTCCTGCCACCCCTACTGAGTGCTGAGAGGACAGGTGTTGGCTTCTGGTTGTTAGTTTGAAAAAACAAAACAAAGTTGCAAGATTCGTACAAACAGTGTTACACCTTGTACACTAGAAAACACAAGTCTTGGCACTTCGCCAGGTGTTGATTACCATCCTGTGGCAAAGACCCTGACAGAAGCAGCTTAAAGAAGGAGGCTTTGCTCCCGCTCAGGGTTCCAGGGTGCGGTCGGTGGGGACAGGAGCGTGAGGCAGCAGAGAGAGGTGACCTGGTGCCCCCACCACTTCCTCCTTGTTATTCCGTTTGGGATGCTCCACAGTTAGGATGCTCCTCAACCCCATTCCCCAGCCTAGAGCCAGCATGCCCAGAGCCTTCTTCCTGACCCCAGCCCCGAGGAGCTGCCGGGATTCACCATCGCAAGGCTCACGCATCCACATCAGTCACTTCTTGTATTTGTGTGTTTAATAGTTGACATCGCATTTCAGAGTAGGTGATGGGCCACCGGCCTCGTAGCAACAACACTGTGCCTGGCCTCCCTCATCATCCTCACCCCGAGGGAGGCCCGACATGATGCCCTGTGTAATGTCTGATCCCTATGCAGATGCTCCCTCCGCGTCACGTCCCGCCAGTAGGGCATCTTGCTTTTCCTGGGTCTGAGATTCAACAGAGGACGCCGCGAGGCTTCGGGCTCCCTGACTCCAGAGGCTCCTCGGCCCCTTCTGGCTTTTGTGGCATGTAAAGTTGTGTAGACTGTATCTTGACTATTTCTCTGTGCTCCGGGCATCACGTGTGGCTGGGGCTTGGGGAAGGCTCTGTCGTGCAGCGTGTCAGGGGGACACGACACTCTCCCACCCTGCTGCGTGACTGTGGCCTCGGTCAGCGCACACGCGCTAGGTTTCTGCGTCGTGAGGCATGTATTTCCTGTCTGTGTTTAGCAGTGAGCTGAAAACTGCACACGTTCGTTGCCAGCAGTTTTAAACGCGCTGGCGGCCATAGGCTGGCTCCACACACTTACCTCAGCGCTGGCTAGACAGGGCCGCCTGTGGCCTCTGCCTCTTCCACGCTTTCCCGTCGCTCCCCGCGGCTGTGCTCTGTCTGCTTGTGTTGACTTCTTAGAAACTCTGTGTTGGCGTGACACGTGTTTGTGTCCCATGAGTGTGTGGAGGACAAATGCTGGCCTGGGCTGTCTTCAACTGCTCCCTGCCTATGTTTTTGAAACAGCTCTCTCTCTCTCTCTCTCTCTCTCTCTCTCTCTCTCTCTCGGGTTTCCCCAGTTCTAGGCTGACTAGTGAGGCCCAGAAATCTGTCCATCTCCACCCAGAGCTGAGGTTGCAGGCACGTACTTCCACACACGCTTTTGGAGTGGTGTTGGGGTTAAACTCATGTCCTTGTGGTTAGGCAGCAGGACCCTTCATCTGTTCCATCAGCATTTCTTTTTAAAAACTAATCACCTTATTTTTATTTTGTGCACGTTGGTGTTTTGACTTCATGTGTGTCTGTGTGAGTGTGTCAGATCCCCTGGAAAAGGAGTCACAGATAGTTGTGAGCTGCCGTGTGGGTGCTGGGAATTGAACCTGGGTCCTCTGGAGGAGCAGCCAGTGCTCTAACCACTGAGCAGTCTCTCCAGCCCCCAGCGCAGCACCTTTTGATGTTCGTAGTAACCAGTTTCTGCCCAAGGTCCTTCCCTTGGGGAGGGGCCTCTCAGGACTTGAGGCAATGTGGGTCACTGGAATCGGGGTCCCCGGGGGCCCAGGGCTGGGCTGGAAGACTGAGGTGCTCACAGCCTGAGGTCAGGAACCTCCTGCTCTGGGCCAGCGGTCCCCAACCTTCCTGATCCTGCCGCCCTTTAATGCTGCTGCTCATGTGGTGACTGCGACCATGAGCGCATTTTCATTGCTGCTTCATGACTGTGATGTTGAGTCTCTTGTGAATAGGGATGTAAAATGTCTGTGTTTCCCGGTGGTCTTAGATGATCCTTGTGAAAGGGTTGGTGGATTCTCCTCCCCCAAAGGGCACAACCCACAGGTGGAGAACCACCACTCCAGGCTTTGCCCGTCAGTGCTCCCAGCATCTCACAGCCCTTGCAACCCTCAGCTTCCTGCAGCGGTGAGCAGCTGCAGTGTCTCAGCCGCTGACACACGCCCTGTCCTGGGATACTCGGTATATATACCGAGTATCCGAGTATATGGATATTCCGAGTAAACCGAGTATTTTATATCCATATATCCATGTGTGTATACATATATGTATGTATGTATTGGGATGCTCAGCATATCACACACACACACACACACACACACACACACACATGCACACACGCACACTCGCACCAGTTTTTCTCCCAAATCTTTACCATTTCTGAAAGGCTCAGCAGTTAAAGTACCTGAAGGGCAAATGTGAGTTTGGATCTTCGGAAGCCTCAGAAAGCAGAGGTGGGGACTCCCCCAGAGCAGGCTGGTCAGTGTCTGTGGCTCTGCGTTTGCCTGAGAGAGCCTGCCTCAGTGGATACGGAGCGGCGGGGATGGAGGAGGACCCCCAAGCTGAGCCTCCAGTTTTCATACACACATCCACCCTTGTCCATAAGCACCATGGGTGTGCCACCATGCATGCCAGACACACAAACAGTCACCAACCCCACATATGAAAAGTGTGGGGAAGAGAGAGATGGGAGAAAGCTGAGGTGTATTCCATTGCTCTCCTCAGTCCACTGTTAACTTGCTTCTGAAATAAGATCACACCTCACTGCTTGATAACCAGGGGAGCAGAAAGATGTCTGACTGTAAGAAATATCCCAAGGAATCCTGGGAAAACCTTTTACCAGAAGCTGTTGGCAATGAACTATGAGCACATGGTCCCAGCTGGCAGCACTGCTGGGGAGCGCTGTGGAATCTTTGGGGGTGATGCCTCCCTGGAGGAGGTGGTTCCCTGGGGGTGGGCCCTGGGGTCACATAGCCCAGTCCAACTTCCTGTCCATGCTCTACTTCCGGTTCCCTCAAGCTCTGAAGTGGTCTGGAGTCCCGAGAGCATGCCCCTGCCAGCACAGGAGCCGCCTGCTGCCCAGCTTCCCCCTCAGTACTGGTGTTATGCCCTTTTCCTGAGACCTCCCAAAGACCTCCAGGAACTGACTGCTGCAAATACCTGTTTATTTAAACCCGTATTAAATACGGGTTTATGTAATACAAGCTCAAGCCTGGGCCACAAGCTCCCTGTGGAAATGGAGAGGAATGAGGGGGCAGGTCTGGGGAACAAGGTTTTTAAAGTTGAAAACCCCCATTGGGGAGTTTCCAAGCTTTGGCCTCACATTAAGCTGCTTCTTTCTGGTCACAGCAGTGAGTATGTGACCAGGGGTCACATCTTGTCCCACCAGCCAGGGGTGCGTCTTGTCCCACACTCTTCTTCTCAGGTGTGGGCCCGTCTGACCCACCAGCTAGGCAAGAGCATCTGCTCATGGTCCCACGTTACATGTTAAAGCTGTGTCCGAGTCTGTTACCTGAGTTGTTGGTAGGGCCCCTGGTTCGGAGCGTCAGTAGTGAGCAGTAGTGAATTTGGTGTGGTGTCAAGGGTGGAGGGGCCGCAACAGCAGGAACAGCGGCGGGAATTGGAGACAACAGCATCCCGTGCTTTCAGCAGCCAGACTCCAGCTGGCTCTCCCTTCCTAGGACCAGGATCATCAGCACACACCACCGTACCTGGCTCCGGTTCCAGGATCTGAGCCCACTCGCCCTATTCCTATGGAGAGCGTGTCACTGGCTGAGCCCACTCCACAGCCTCCATAGCTTTGTTCTGTCTTCCTCAGTGCTGGGGATTGAGCTTAGGATGGCCCACAGGCGAGTGCTCCAGCCTGTGCCGTGCTCCACCCTGAGCGTGCCCCACCAGGCTGTGCTCCACCCGGAGCCGTGCTCCCAGCCCCATTTTAGCTCCCGTAACAGCAGCACCCTGAGGCAACAGTGCTGACGTCATGTGAAGGATGACCCTGCCGCCTGCTGTAGCCCGCAGTAGCCCACAGTTCCGTAATGAAACACGAGTGTATGAGAGTCAGAGAGCTCAGGGGAGACCTGGGAAGCGACACAGACGGAAGGTAGCTAGGAAGACGCCTCTTCCTTTGCTGTTCTAATGGGAAATGTCCCCACCACAAGCACTGGACTCGCCTGGCCTGTGCTCAGGACACAGCTGTCTGTGCCCCAAGGCTTAAGGGAGCATGCAGGCCACAGCGCCCTTCCCTCTGCCCCCAGGCCTGCCCCCCGAGTGTCCTCACTGTGCTGTTCTACTGCGGCTCCGTGACCGTCTTCTTTGCCGTCATCAAGCTCCTCAGCTATCGCCTGCACCTCATGTTCGATGAGGGAGAGGTGGTCCAGCACCGAGCCCCGAGACAGAGGGATGAGCGGAGGCCAGAGGGGAAGGCCGGATGCCAGCATGCCGCCAGGCACAAGATCGCCAGGTAGCCATGTCCAGCAGAGCTGGCTCCCAGGGGGGGAGGCTTGGTTTAAAACGCTGCCACCTGGGTCGGCTGTAGCTCGGCCTGCAGAGTTCGCCTGGCACATGCACAGGCCTGGGCTCCATTCTCAGCACCAAAGAGACCTGCTAAATGACATGTGCTCCGGAAAGGTGGAGGCAGGGAGATCAGGGGTTCAGGGTCATCCACAGGTGCAGAGTGGGTTCCAGGCTACTCAAACCTTAGGCTCAAAATGCATACATACATATATACATACTCACATACATATATATACACATACATATATACATATATGAACCTACACATATACACAATACATACATATATACACATATACATACACACAAACATATATACATACATGCATATATATACATACAGATATACACAATACATACATATACACATATACATGTATACATACATACACACAAACATGCACATATACATACATGCATATATACATATATATACACGTGTATGTACACACATACATTTATACACATATATACACACATATATGTACATACATACATACATGCATACACAAATAAACAGGCTGTCTCCTACCTATGGATTTTATACGAGGGCAGACATCCCAGGCAAATGTGGGTTTGTACACTTTGCTTACATCTGAAACTGAGCTTAATTATTATTTTTCACAGTTTGGATGTGTCATCTGGCCTCCAATACAGCGTACACTCCTCTCTGAAATCCCTTTAGGCTGACAGTGCGAAACAGTCTGCTTAAGTGTTCTATCTTGTTGTGTGGCTTCGCCAAGCGCACCTGGGGACAGTGGGTACTCGTACAGAGGTCGCACACTGCACATATACAGTGAGGTCTGAGGGGCGCCATGCTCGCCTCGCTTTTCACAGTTTGCTTTAGGTGTGTCTCCGGCCTGCGAGGATACACTGAGGACCTGGGCTTGATCTGCAGAATTCGTGTAAAAAGCCAGACACAGAGACTCTCTCTCTCTCTCTCTCTCCCTCCCTCCCCCCCCCCTCTCTCTCTCACACACCCGCCACGGAGTGTCTCTCTCTCTCTCTCTCTCCCTCCCTCCCCCCCCCTCTCTCTCTCACACACACACACAGGGGTGTGAGGATGGAAAGAGGGAGTGTCTTCTAATTTTAGGGGAAGTTTGTGTGCTTTTAAGAAGATTGTGTGTGAGGACTAGCTGGGAAGGAGTGGGGAGGCCCGGGAGGAGCCGGCTCTCCGGTAACGTGTGCCCTTCTCCTGCCGGCAGTGACAGGCGGATTCACAGCAGCAAGAAGGAGGAGCTGCGCGGGAGCCTGGCCACACCGGCCACACCACCACTGCACGGCAGCTCCCAGGGCAGCGTGTACTCCCAGCCATCCTCGGGGGCTCTGGTGGGTGACGCCTTCCTGTCCTTCAGCTCGGAGCATAGTGGGGGTGGCTGAGCGTGCCAGGGTCCCCATGCTTCTCATGCTCCTCAGGCTGTGGGCTGCGGAAATGCCCGGGTGTGCCCTTGGGATCTCCGGGCACCGGCGAGCTCATCCCACTTTCCTGGTCCCCGGGCAGCCTCAACGTTGTACAGTTGTGCAGATTGTGTGAAGACTGTGTCTCTCTAGTGACAAAGTCACATCTCCCCAGCTCTTCCTGCACTAAGGCTTCTCAGGATCCCAGGGTGCAGGGTGGTTCTGTGGGTCTCCATTCACAGTGGTCATGTCTTCTGGCTCTAGCCTCATCCTTAGCATCCTCCCCTCGCTGGCGAGCTCGGCCACCTGGGGACGAGTGCACTCACGATGCCTCTACACGTGGGCACGGGTGCTGAGGTGTGGCCGAGTGTGCCAGCCGGCCGTGTGGCCTGTGCGGCGGGCCAACTCCCAGCTAACGTCTGCTCTCTGTCTCTGCAGGAGCTGCCGGCACAGGAGACGGCAGAGGACCTGAAAGGTACCATTCTCACCCTCGGACATTTAATCCCCGTGGGGACAAAATTTTTGTTTGTAAGGTTTATTTTTTAATCATGTGTATATGTGTGTTTCTGTGTGTGCATGTACGCTCTCACAAGTGAGTACAGGGGCCAGAAGGGGGTGCCAGACGCCCTAAAGCTGGGGCTCACAGGCAGTTGTGAGCCGCCTGCCATGGGTGCTGGGCACGGAACTGGCTCCTCCACACAAGCAGTGAGCCTCCCCAGGAGCCAGGGAGGAGGTGATACGGGTCTGCGCTGTGAGGCTCTCGTGGAGGGCGTGTGACTGTGTTGAAGGCTGTTTGGTTGCCACGGTGAGGTTGTGGCTGGCTTGGAGCAGGCAGAGGCTGGGTGACATTTAAGGGTCAGGTGTTGCACACGCCCGTGTCTCCAGAGCGAGGAATGTACTTCCAGCCTGACCACTGGCCCAGGTATTTCCCTTGGTTTAGCGGGATCGAGGAACTTGCCCAGGAGAAGGTGATGGGAACAGAGCCAGGTCTCTGCGACCATAAGGCCCAATCCTGTGATTTGGACCACGCTGCTCTGCCTCTTGAGGCTTCAGAGAAAAGAAAGGGGGAAAGAGGAGAGAGGGGAGAGAGAGAGGAAGGAAGGAAGGAAGGAAGGAAGGAAGGAAGGAAGGAAGGAAAGGAAGGAAGGAGAGAAGGAAGGAAGGGAGGAAGAAAGGAAGGAAGGAAGGAAGGAAGGAAGGAGGAAGGAAGGGAGGGAGGAAAGAAGGAAGAAAGGAAAGGAAGGAAGGAGAGAAGGAAGGAAGGAAGGGAGGGAGGAAAG